GGGATCAAAAGGATGGCCGATATCTTATTGTATCCTGTGGACTAGTCCAACATCCCATGGATTTTACAGCAGGCACACAGTGCTGGCCTGCCTTGGTTGAGGCAGTCCAGTCCTTAAAAGATCAGGAATCCAGTAACTGGTGGGTTTAGAAAGGTAATGAGGAGTTGTCTTCTCCAGTACGAGAGGAAGTGGCCTCAAGTTGCACCAGGGGAGGTTTAGGTTGGATATTAGGAAAAATTTCTTCACAGAAAGAATTGTAAAGTATTGGAAGGGGCTGCCCAGGGAAGTGGTGGAGTCACCATACCTGGAAGTGTCCAAAAAACGTGTGGCTGTGGCCCCTGGGGACATGTTTTAGTGGTGAACACGGTTGTGGTGCTGTGTTGATGGTTGGTACTGACGACCCTGGAGGTCTTTTCCAACCTTAACGATTGAGGGATTTGTACCTCCAGGATTATGGGAAAGGCACTCCGAAGAAACGCTGCTCCCCAGGGGACTGGGGCTGGTGCTGCTTCCCAAGCAGAAACATGAGCTTGTGTGGGAAGTGTCTGCTGTCCTCCAAATTCCTGGAGATACCAGGATGGAAAGAAAGATCTATCTTGGCACGGTTCCCTGGGCCAAAGAAGACTGTGTCAGGGCTGGAGATGCCAAACAAGCCTTGCTTATCTCCATGAAGGAAAACACTCCTAGTTTTATGAGAACAATGTTGAACAGGCAGGAGAGTCACCACCTTGAGAGAGAAGCTTTCAAAGCAGCGTGGGATAAATTTCTTTCCGAAAGCACCAACAATTTCAAAGCGGAGCAGCATCTCCCAGCTGGGGTATTCCATCTAAAATGCAATATTTTATACACTAATATTTCAAAATTAATGAGCTGATTAATGGTTTCATGTCATAAGGGCTAAAAGTCTTTGTTCAGAGTTTATCTGAAAGTTATTATTGATGTTGAAATGTTTGGAGTGCCGGTCACAACTTCTGAAGCAAAATCACTGGATGAATTTACAAAGACTGAACTTACTCAGTTAAGTATGAAACATCAATAAAAACATTTCATTTTTCCCTCCTTGTAAGAGTATTGACATGGCTTTTATGCATCTTTATACTTGAAAACTTTGTATTCAATGCCCTGCTCCCATTACATTGGTGGTGCAACCACAGCTGGCAGTGCTGGAGGAATGTCACCTCTTGAGATCCCGTGCAACCCAAATTTATCCTGTGATCCTACGACTGCTGTTCCTAAAACCAAGCCACAAAAATGTACCAGCGCCACATTTCCATGTTGCAAATGAAGAGGAAAGTTCTTATGGATTGGGCTTGTGAGGCAAGGTTCTGGTAGCTGGGAACTACAGGGACAGAGAGAGATTCAGGAAGGAAAAAAAAGACTTGCACACTCCCAGGGCAGTGGGGAAGGAGGGGCAGGAGGTGCTGCAGGAGCCAGAGCTGAGGTTCCCCTGCAGCCTTTGGGGAGGCAGCTGTGCCCCTGCAGCCCATGGGGGTCTGTGATGGATCAGAGACCCCCTGCAGCCCCTGGAGGAGTCCACACTGGAGCAGGGGGATGCCTGAAAAGAAGGGTGTGACTGTGTCCATGAAAAGGACCCACACTGGAGCCTGTTCCTGAGGGACTGACCCCATGGAAGGGACCCACACAGGAGCAGTTCCTGAAGGACTGATCCCATAGAAGGGACCCACACTGGAGCAGCCTGTTCCTGAGGGACTGACCCCATGGAAAGGACCCACACTGGAGCAGTTCCTGAGGGACTGATCCCATGAAAAGGACCCACACTGGAGCAGTTCCTGAAGGACTGATCCCATAGAAGGGACCCACACAGGACCAGTTCCTGAAGGACTGATCCCATGGAAAGGACCCACACTGGAGCAGTTCCTGAGGGACTGATCCCATGGAAGGGACCCACACTGGAGCAGCCTGTTCCTGAAGGACTGATCCCATGGAACGGACCCACACTGGAGCAGTTCCTGATGGACTGACCCCATGGAAGGGACCCACACTGGAGCAGCCTGTTCCTGAGGGACCAACCCCATGGAAGGGAGCCACACTGGAGCCTATTTCTGAAAGACTGACCCCATGGAAGGGACCCACACTGGAGGGTGGGAGTGATTTTTCCCCATCCTTATCTCAACTCCTGAACCTTTCATTGTATTTTTCCTGACAACAATAACAACAAAAACCCTACACACACTAATAAAGTCTTTTCCCTTTGAATGCCTTTCAAATTTTAAAGAAACAAGCAAATCCAGCAAAAGCTGTACAGAATACAAAAGCTCACTTGGAGTATATTTGACTCTAATAGCTGGTTTCAAACAGCGCAGTGTTGGATGGAAAGGGATCAGGTTGGATATGCTGCTAGCTAAAATATGTTAATGTGATTTAAATTACATTGTACCTGCCTGGGGAATTAATTTTGTGATTTTAAGGGAAACTGAAACAAGTCATTCAATCAGATCCCCCGTTTTCTGTAGGCACTAATGGGATTGTTCAGAGCAAGCAAAGCTGGATGACAAGCAGCGGGTGAACAAAGCTTGGGAAGCAGGAGTTTTGCAATTGTAGGATTTTTTTCAATTTTTCTTTTTAAAGAGACACTGTTGCTTCCTGATAAAAACTAGTTCCTCCCTGAAATCACAGTGACTTGTTGAAACCAGCATCCCTGTCCTCAGAACACTTGGCAGGGTACCAGCCAGCAAGGAGCTGTCAGACAGCAGGGAGCACGTCCAAAAGAGCTGCAAATCAAGGAAATTGTGCAAAGACACAAGGAAGCCTGGCAAATTAGTCAAACCCACTGTTTCCTGGCATGGAAATGGCATGGAGATTTAATGGCTTGGTTAAGCTGCCCTGTTTCATCCATTTATGTGTAAAATAAAAGCCAAGAAGCTCATCCAGCCCCGTTTGGGATTCTGGCAAGCCCAGCTTTTCCCCCTTTGGTTCCACCACAAGCTTTGGGGGCACAAGCAGGCAGATAAGTCGTATTGCTGGACTACTTTAAGAAGAAAGGTGCCCCACCACTGACAGAAAGTACCACAACAGAACAAAACAGCTACAGCCAGGTAAGACATGGTGATAAAGACTCCAAAGCGCAGCAACAGAGAACACGCCCAAACCAGAAAATGTGACCACATTTCACCCAGAGAACAACAAACACCACACCAGGCAGGTACAAAACTCTAGGGAGAAATATCTGGCATAGAATCCCAGAATCAGTCAGGTTGGAAAATTGCTCCCAGCCCATGGAGTCCCCCCTGTGCCCGATGCCCACCTTGTCCCCCAGCCCAGAGCACTGAGTGCCACGGCCAGGCCTTCCTGGGACACCTCCAGGGATGGGCACTCCAAACCTCCCTGGGCAGCCCCTGCCAATGGTATAGAGGGAGGAAAGGAGATAATGACTTAGCAAGGGAGTGGATTTTTTAAGTGGATGATGTTGTCAGAGTAAGTATTCAACCCTGGCATAGTTCAGAGACAACATTAATGGAACCCTCCATGGCTTTTTTTTTGGTGGGTTTTACAAAGCTGATTTTCAAAGTCACTTCTCACCCCATACACAACTATTTTCTGTAACCATCTCACCATGACTGACTGGATTTCTGTTAAAAAACCAGTTGTTATCTCCTGATTAATTTTAACATTCAGATGTCCAGTTAATCCCAGGGCAAAGCAAACAAATCCACAGACGAAAGGAAGAGGAAGAATCTTTTCAGTTGCCTTTTTTATACCCCAGAGAGTATTTAAGGAGTGTAAGACAGCCTGAAACAACATGAAGATCTTTTATTTACATCTTCAGATTTCACAGCTGGAAGTTTGAGATCAAAACAACTGAATTCACAGCTCTCAGAAATGGAGAGTAATTCACAACTAACAGATTTCCAAAGATAAGTATAACCAGATTTTTAACGGAAAAGGTGCAGGCTCTCCTATAATTACTCCATATTGCCACAAAATTGTAGAAAGGTTCTAAACTCTCCCAACATTTGCTTGGGAAAAAAAAAAAAATTATGAGTAAATACTGAGCAGGAAGGCAAACCTTGTGAGCTGAAGCTAAAATAGGGAAAAAAGCACAAGACAGAAAAAAAATAATAAGGTCTTTAACAGCACGGAGAAGAAATATTTAGAGGATGAACATTTCTGAATACACAAAACCTCAACTGTGCTGGCTCTTCCTGAAGAATAACACAAAGAAGCAGCAAAATCACAGACCACAGAATGTGCTGAGTTGGAAGGGATCCCTAAGGATCATCCAGTCCAACTCCTGGCCCCGCACAGGACCATCCCCCAGAGTCACCCCCTGTGCCCCAGAGGATCATCCAAACCCTCCTGGAGCTCTGGTAGCCTTGGGGCTGTGCCCACTGCCCTGGGGAGCCTGGGCAGTGCCCAACCACCCTCTGGGGGAAGAACCTTTGCCTGAGATCCAACCTGACCCTGCCCTGGCACAGCTCCAGCCATTCCCTGGGTCCTGTCCCTGGTCCCCCCAGAGCAGAGCTCAGTCCCTGCCCCTCCTCTGCCCCTGCCCAGGCAGTTGGAACTGCAGTGAGGTCTCCCCTCAGTCTCCTCTGCTCCAGCTGAACACACCAAGTGCCCTCAGGCTCCTCACACGGCTTCCCCTCTAGACCCCATCTTCAGGAATCTTCAGGAAAAGAAGCAAAACTATGGAATTTTACTTCCTGTTGAGCAGCAGGGATCTGTTGGCTGAGAAAAACTGCCCCTTGATGACAGAACAACCTCCAGATGGCCAGTGATGCACTGGCAACACCCTCCAGTGCCCTTCCCCATCTTCATCTCCCTCCTTTGGATGGTCCCTGAACTCTTTGTTTCATGACCAAAGGCCGTTCCTCAGTGACACACAGGCTTTACCCACACAAACCTTTCGGAGATCAAGGAAAATCGCTGCAGATTACACATGTATTTGGTCAAGACCCACCTCACAGGCACTCCAGTCATCCCACACCCCAGTGCCCAGCAGAACAGCCCGCTCCCCTCAGCTTTCCCGGGACACTCACCCCGTCGGGTCTGCCGTCCGAGGCCGTGACAATCAGGATGTAGCGGTCGGTGCTTTCCCTGTCCAAGGGTTTTCCCAGGGCCAGAAGCCCAGAACTGTAATAAAACAAACCCACAACATGTCACTACATCAGCTGACAGAGATCTACAGGTGCTTTTGCTCCACCACTTTGTGCCACACCGAGGTTTCCCTTTAGGCTTTATGTAGGTAAAGGCTGATAAAAATCCATGAGCCGGTTGTTAATGTTTTCCACTTGGACAATTTAGCATTAAAATAACAACCTACTTTTTAATTTATTTAACATTTATTGATATATTAATTTAATTTAACAACTAGTGATCTACAGATGACTACAAAAAGAGCTGCACTGAACACAGGACCTCTATTTGTTACTGCTGCACTTTATTAATCTATTTATTTATTAAATAAATATTTATTTAATGATTACTATTACTGCTGCAATACATGAGAAGAGAGAATAATGAGCAGGCTATTAATCACTGAGGAGTTCTGATATCCAGCAGGATTGAGCAGTAAACTCTGGGAATACAACACACACAGACTTAAGCATCAGCCTACTCAGCGTTTTATAGGGAAAGGCTACAAACTTACACACTGTGTAACTTCAGAGTAAGTGCTGCAATGAGCTAATGCTCTTTGCACAGAGATACCCAAGTCCCTAGTAATAAAATATTCCCATAGGAACAAATGTTGAGGAAAATGACTTATAGAATCATGGAAAGACCTTAAAGCCCATCTCACTCCAGCCCCTGCCATGGGCAGGGACACCTTCCACTAGCCCAGGTTGCTCCAAGCCCCGTCCAACCTGGCCTTGGACACTTCCAAGGAATCAGGATATTGTGATTATTGACACCCATTTTAAAAGGACACTAAAAGAAAGGTTATTTGGAAGCCACACACAGTGCTGTTTTTTTCTCTAGGATGATCTGATTTCCTCCTGTAGAGGTCTGAAAGCACCCAGAGAGGCAAGATCCCACTATGGACTCATTACTGGTATATTAGGAAGGATAGGGAAGGTATTGTCTGGACAATCTTGTCTGAGCAAGCTAAACTCTGCTTAACTGAGCTGGTACCAGAGGTATGGCCCTGACCACCACCAAAGCTCCACATTTCAGTTACAGGATTTTGTGTCTACTGGAACCTGGGCGAGCGTGTAACAAACTGACTCCTCTCTTAAATCCATGGGCTATTTAACTACTGTGCCCCAAAAAGCATGGATCCAGGGTGACAGTTAAACACAGATCCAGGATGACTTGTCCTCTGTTCCACGGCTAAGCAGCTTCTCCCATGGGACTCCATCAAACATGTCATGTTGAGCTTAAAACATCTGAAGAAAAGCATAAGAGCACACGAGTTCGCGGCACAAAATCCACACCAGCTGGAATCTGGGGATGCTGTGACTTTCCATGTGTTAGGCCATTTTCAGTGGATCTCTCAGACACAAGCATTGGTGAGGCACAGCTATAAACTGCATTTTTTGTACCCACATCTGACGTTCGTGACCCGGAACCTCCACAGCTACTCGTACAGAAAGAGGTTTTATTAAAACAAGTTAAAAACCAAAGCAAAGCTCAAAGTCCCCCCAAAGCAGGAGGTCTCATTAGCTGAACTTCTCCAGGATGTTAGGATGTGTAACACCTGTATCTAATGATGGTTTTTCCCTAGACTATAAATTCCTGCAGAGTTTCTGCTCTGATTTCTCATTCTCAGAGAAGATTCAGTGAACTGGTTCCAGGCCAAGACTTCTTCCAACAGAGACAAATAGCAACACTTACTGCTGAGCTATTTCTTCCAAAAAAATATAACAGAAATTGGTGGAAAACGTGAGTGGGAGGATAATTCTCCCCTAGGATTGAAAGGTTGGGAGGTAAAATAATATCCAAGCTCAGAAATCAAAGAAAATAACATTCCAGGAGATGCTCCGTTCAATTTGCCTCATGGTTATACGGTAAAAACATGGGCTCATGTCCCGGTTGGCTTCACCCAAAAAGGAAAAGCTTCACTGGCCCTAAAATACTTCCCTGGAGGTTGGTAAAATCCAGAGGGGAGGTGGATATTGTGCATGGGTTTGTAACCCAGTAAATAAGGAGCTGCCAGGCCTTGGATCCTGCAGGGAGGAGAATGGAACCAGCATCCTCCTCCTTCCAGGGCAGGATTTCAGGTGCTGAGGGTTCAGCAGAGATCCCTCAGATCCCAGAGATATCCCTTCATCAGGGAAAATGACTCCCCAGAGGGAAAGGGAAAGTGTAACACCCAAGCAAGGGACACACCTGAGAAAGTTTGTGTCTGTATATAAATATATAAAATATAAAAATTTGTAAATATATACAGATGTGTAAACTTATATATTGTATATATCATATTATATAATAAATAATATATTAAAATATAGTACTAAATACAATGTTAAATATTTTCCTAAATATATTTAAAATATACATAAAAAATATAATATATAGAATATATAAATTTGTAAATATTTACATATTATTTGTATATATTTATTTAACATTACATATAATAGTAATATATGTATATATAATAAATATTGTATACATATTAGATATACAATATAGATACACACTACATAATATATATTTTATATATATATACTATATATAATATATTTTATATGTGTATATATATATAAACTCTCTCAGGCCTGTCTGTTGTGTGTGTATATATATATATATATATACACACATATATATACACACATATACATATATTTATAAAAAGCCATATATATTTTATATATGTGGCTTTTTAATAAAATATAGAAGTATTTTATAATATATAAAAGTAATATATGAATATATCTACTATATACATTATGATATAGTGTATATAAAAATACATAGATAAAATATATTTTTATAAAAAGCCATATATATTAATAAAAATATACAGCTATACTTATTATAAATAAATATATAGCTCTATATTATTAAAATACATGTATATGTATATATATGAATATCCATTTAAAAATTACATATATACATAAAGTACTTGAGACATATTTTATATCTACTAATATACACGTACTAAAACATTCTTATATTTGTAGTTTTAGCTTCTTGCACTAGTGTCATAATTAGACTAATCATAATTTGATTAGACTATTAAGACTTTAATTAGACCGAGGGTAAATTCTTAGCTTTGCATACAGACAGCCCACGAGAAGGCAAATCAATTAGTTATCATAATAGATTGAATATATACTTTTCAGTGTTTGTTCAAGACACTGCAATAAAATACAAACAATTTCTTTTTATGGGGAAGGAACAGTAAATAAAACATAAACCACTTAAGTGGTAAATTATTAATTTTAAAAAAATACCAAAATGGAGCTAAGAATAAAACACTGACACCAAATCCTGCTTTATTAACACTGACCTCGAGCTGCATAAATCACTTACATTTCCCCAATATTTCTGCACTATCATATCACCATTTTTATCTTCTCCTTCCTACTGCTTGAAAAATTACACTCTCTTGTCTCTCTGTTACCACAGATGAACATCATCCAAAAGCCAGGCTAAATTCAAAATATCCTGTGTTTTCCTCCAGGGTTTAGACATACCCACATTCCTCTACCACCCCAGCTTTCAATCCCTGCTTTCCCTGGGGAACATGAGGAGGTAGGGAATTCCTACAGATGGTGCTCAGGTTGGAATGCTAAAGAAGGAGGAACAAAACCACCTCGCAACCTTCAGACTGAGGAGAAAAAAAGGTTTAGTAGTAGTAGATGTAAAACTGGTAGTATTCAGTACTCCTGGTGGAATTACACAGGGGTTCACTGCCACGCTCCAGGATGCAACAAAATCATTCAGAGGAGAAAAAGGCAGAGAAAGAATCATGTTCATGGTCTCAGCCTTAAAGTGTCTAAAATTGAGGTGAATTCCTGTAGCCTTAATATGCCACTCACATTAACTCTGTGCTTTGTTTGATATTAATCCTCCTTTCATCTCCTCTCAAGGCATTCCAGCAGCCAGGAAACAAAAAACAGAAAAAAAGGTTGTAGGAAACTTTGCACAGGCCATTTCCGAGAGAACAGAAAGGGGAAAACTCTTTAAAGAGCTCCCCTTTTTTATCAGGAGGCACCAGTTCAGGGCCCCAAACCTCACGGTGTGGTGCTCAGACACATGTGGGGGCTGTGAGGGTGGGAGTGTCAGCCTGCCCAGGAAGGGTCCTGGAGCATGGAGATGGAGGGGATGGAGGAGGACTTCCAGCTGGGAATTTATTCACATGCCACATTTAACAACTTGACTTCTGGGTACCTCCACACTGCCCCCATCCAAAGTCGGACAACACAGGAGCTGCCAAGGATCCCACTTCCAGAGTACCTTCATGCCAGATGCTGTCCTGAATTCCCACATGTTTCTTCAGTCTCTCTGGTATGGAGAACTACCAGGAATTTTGTGGTGCGATGTGAACAGCACGAACTACATGAAACAACTACCCACCGAGAAACCCCTTTGGAACACCCCTCCTGCAGCCAGGTCAGACAATTCACCTTCTAAATCAACAAATGCTGCTTTCCAAACAGTGTGACCCCCCCCCACCGGAGCAGCTCTCATGGAGCCAGGATAGATTATTCACCTTCTGAAGGTCACAGAGGAGGTCAGACTGAGTTTCTCTGTGTTAAGGAGAGGGTTGCCAACGTCCCTTGTGCAGGAATCCCTACAAATCCACGCTGTGCTGGAGCTACAACCCCCAGCAATCCGTCTGAGCCGATGACCACACACCTTCCCTGATCTGCACCAAAACCTCCAGTCCTAAGCCATGGATAACACCTATGGATAACACCAGCAGCCCGACCTGGCCACCTCAGTGAAGGAAAGTCTCCCCTCTCCAAGGTGTCCCTTCCCTCACCTGACAAGTCTTTATCATTAGAGGGCCCATCCATCACTCTTGGTGGAGGAGAGCACCATCTCCTGGGATCTTCCAGGGGTTTTTACATTCTTTCCTAAATGATTTGGCTCTCCATGAATGGGAGACATATCACCTGGAGCTTCCCTAGAACATACAAACCTGTTTCAGTAGGTTTGTGTATTTAGGTTCACAAAGTCTCCCCCAACCCAAACTAGAACAATCTTTTGCAATTATACACAAACTAGCCCCGGGTTACTTCTGTCCCATCATTACCACAGGAAGTCAACTCACCACCTTCCCTTCCTTCTGCAAAGGAAAAAGATACTTTGGAGTGTAAATAATAGCTACCAGTAGGTAAATAATACCTAATAACAGGTAAATAATAGCTAATAATAGATAAAATAAAGAAAGGGGTGGTGGGACAGGCACAGACAGATCTGGTGCTCATAATTTTATTATGTACCCTCTGTTTCTCACTCTATTTAAGCTGGTATTCAATCTGAAGAAAAGATGCTTTAAAACAATGCTCAAAAGGCATTTTTAATACAGGCTAAGCTGCAAGAAGGCAGGAAAATAAAGCAAAAATTGTCCCTGTCATTAGTCAAGAGCTGACAGGTATAAGGTTCTTAATTAATCCCTGGTCACTCTTTTAAATAGAATGTTTCCACTTCAGTGAGTTTTACCTACTTACAGTGTTCAAAATAAATAAATAGTCCCCTGTGAAAAACTTCAGAGTGCAATAAGGCTCACAGAGCTTCATTTATGTGTAAGGAGCAGCTGAGGATGTGTAATTACAAACCTTTTCTTTCACTCTCAGCCCACACATTCACTTGACTGAAAAGTTACAAGTCCGTTTTCCAAGGGTTTTCCACTTACCTTTGAGAGAGATTAAAAACTTGTTGAGGATCTCCATTCTGAATGAGGTATCTTATGGGGTCACCCTCCCTATCAAAAGCCTTTAGGGGAAAAAAAGGGAGAAAATTAAGTCAGTGACAGAGCTTTCTTTACTTCCCTTCTGTGCATAGAGTGGAGAATTAACCCCTGAGGTTTCAGGAATGTCTGCAGGGATGACACTGATCTCTGTTTCTAAGGCAATTCTGGTTATTGCAGATGGGCTACTTAAGATAAATCTGTAGCACATCAGAACTCTCATGCTACAGAGGAATGACAATATCCTGAATACAGGATTAATAATTAGTAATTATCAAATTATCAAATTAATGCCACACATACACACACAGCAGCACAAAGATGAAATTCAGGCTTATTCAATTAGGTTTACTTTATGCAGCTACAGACTGATTAGACTGAACTTCTTGTTTCCTTTCTTCCTATTCTTCATTTCTACTTCTTGCCCAGATCCCTCTTTCTATTGGTTTACCAGAATCCCAATCTTTGGCTGATACTCCACCCAGCAGTGTAGACATTGTAGCACTCACTCTCCAGGATAATTTGCTTTTTGGGGGATGAAGATTCAGATAAGACCTTTAAGAATGACTATTAGCAGCACCAAAACAATTATATTGCACCTACTGGGTACCAAAAAAACCCTTTTCAGACGTTGAGTAAACTACTTTTGTTGTTAAACTTTGGCTAATCTGTTCCCAAACCCAGCCATAAATCTGCCATGGAACTGTAACTGTTTTGTCAAGTATACACAAACCTTTTCACGGGAAAAACTATTGTGAGCTTTTTAGAGAAATTACTCTCTACTAAACAGTCTCCTGGACTGTGTCACAGCTACAACCAGTTAGCACTCAAACCCCAAAGCGATTAAGCACATTTTTGGAGGAAAAACAACAAGGAGAACTGCAAGAAGGCCAGTGAACAGGTCCAAGAAGGGCAGACAGGCTTTACTAGGAGACAGGGTGACACAGAAAAGAGGGTAATAAGAGAGTATTTTTGTATCTCTCATCTTCCAACAACCATCCCTTTTAATATCTTTTTTATAAGCCTTTCACAGAATCCCAGAATCGTTCAGGTTGGAAAAGCCCTCCAAGGTCACCGAGTCCCCCCTGTGCCCGATGCCCACCTTGTCCCCCAGCCCAGAGCACTGAGTGCCACGGCCAGGCCTTCCTGGGACACCTCCAGGGATGGGCACTCCAAACCTCCCTGGGCAGCCCCTGACAAGGCCTCACCACCCTTTCCAGCAACAAATTCCTCCTCCTGGCCAACCTGAGCCTCCCCTGGCACAGCTGGAGGCCGTTCCCTCTCCTCCTGTCCCTTGTTCCCTGGCAGCAGAGCCCGACCCCCCCCGGCTCCCCCCTTCTGTTGGGTCAGATAAAAACCCAAGAAAAATAAGGAAAAAAACCCAACTCAAACCCACCCCAACATTAAGACCAGAAGCACCAACCAGTTCAGAGTGCAGGCAGAACAGGGAATTCAGTAAGAAAACAACTTGCCTGAGCCAAAGGAAGCATAAAGAAAATAATGGCTAAGTCAGACAAAGGTGACCAGCACAAAGGAAGAGCAAGAACAACCAGAGCGGCACAGAGTCAGAAAAAGTCAAGGCAAAACTAATAGAAACAGGAAAGAAGGCAAGGGATAACAAAAGAATGTTCAAACTGCAGAGGAAACTTGAGGAGTGTGGTACCTTCCAAGCAGAAGGGATGATGTTGAGAAGGTCAAAGAGCTGACACTGCTGGAATTAACTGGGACAACAAAGGGGTAAAATCTCAGCTGAGAACTAGGAAAGAATAGGCAGAGAAGCTGTACATAAATTGAGCACCTTTAAATCATCTGCTGAAATTAAAGCCTGATGAAGTTCATGCTATTGTAGAAAACCCAGGCTGAAGCAATCTCAAGGCCATTAGTGGTTTTCTTTGAAAACTCAGAGGAAAGAGGTGCTGAAGGGCCAACACAAGGTACATCCTTCATGGGGGGATGAGCCAGGAAATCACAGGTGGAGCTCAATTCCCAGAAAACCACAAATAACCAAATCATCTGTAAGTGACCTGGATGACAATATGGAGATGGGTAACACAAAGCTAACTCTGCCAAGAACAAAAGGATGGGGAAGGAACCTGATCTTTCACAACAGGGCTAGAGAACAGGGCAGAGGCTGTGGGGGCAATATTGCATCTGAGCCATGGAGAGGCTTTTCATGCTGCTTTCTGTGCCACCTTCCCAAAGCAGTTCAGACAACACGGTCTCCAAATGCAAAGTGGGATTAAGCAAGAATAAAACCACTCATAAAAAATGAAGGTCAGGCAGCAGTGGGTGACATTTAGTATTGACTCAGTTCTGCACAGGTGTAAATAGTTCTTCCAGGACTGATCAATAGTTTCATCCACAACAGCAACGAGAGAGTAGGAAATTTGTTTGTAAAATCCACCGAGTGACGGGAGGTGGCACCACCTTAGTGGCTGTGAGTGGGATTTGGATCTCCTGAAGATATGAACAGTCAGGATCTGACTCAGGAAAGACAAGTGAAAAATTGTCAGCCAAGAATGCAAAATGCTACAATTACTGGAGGCCGAAAATGTGAGTAGCTGGCCTCCCTGAGGACTCTCCCAGATCCTAAATCTTTAGTGGCCCTTTGTATTCCCTTCTATCTGCAGGGCATCCTGCCCTCCCTTCACATCCCAGGCTGTCTCAGAGCTATGACTGGGGCCTACATTCCAACAAGAAGTCAGGAGACTCTCAAAAAGACAGAAAATAAAGGACTGGCTCTAGTTTATTTCATTTTCTCCTTGTCTCCAAGGAAAATCCACCTTCCATTCAACACACACTAAAAAATCAGGGAGAAAATGATAATTGGTTGTTTTGAAAAGCTCCCGTTTTCTTTAAAAGCAAAGGACAGCAGGTTATTATGAAATAAGAAAACCACTGGGGGCTTGCAAATGAGGAGAGCAATCCATACCCACTGTTTTCCAGATCAATGGAATACAGTGACTCCATAAATTGTACACAACGATTCCATGTTGCCTCCTTGTTCAGCACAGAACTGGACCGTGGTAACAAGCCCTATTTGTTTTGCAGACTCCCAGAAAAATGACACCATTTGCATATTTTAATTAATAATGGCTGGCAGAACATGAAGCCATAAATGCCTCCCAGGCATGCAATAAACTCTGAGGTTTATTTACAAATTAATGCTGTGGAGACCGTTTAATATTGCATTAATCTCAAATTTTGTTAATTAAAACACCACTCACAATCAACTGGGCGCATTATAAAATAAATAACAGCATAAGAAAGAAATACAACCTTCCATCCTCAGCATGGAATATTTTAACGGACAGGGAGAAAGTGAATTTTATTTTTAGAACAGGTATTTTAAAGTCTAAAAGGAAAATTTGAAACAGCTGCATTTGCATTGTTATTGACCCTGATGATTTGTAGATCTTCAGATTTGCCAGCTTGGGAATATTTAAAATATTTTGCTCACTCTTCCCCAGATTTTGTAAGCCTGTAGGCAGCACTAACAAAGTATTATTAAGAGAGAGTCATAAAATAATAATCTCTTAATCTGCACCAATCTAAACAATTTATTGCTAAGAATCATGAAAGGAAACATCAGTGTGAAAATGTACACATGAACATATTTGTTCAATATTTGAGATCTTAGTGATGTTCCACGTGAAGAGGGAACACAGGCAATACCTGACGCTATTGCACAAAAAACCCACACCAAGGTGACTAATTGGTAACTTGCTGTTGCCTGGAAAGGACAGCACAAGATTTCACAAGCTTAAATACCCAGTTTAGGAATGTTTAAAATGTCCTGACCAGTTTTACACAGAAGGGAATGAAGAAAGATGAAGACAGAAATGCAATCGCCACAAGTGCTTTAACACAGGGGAGTGTTTTAATGCAGAAGGAGGCACTTGAACTTAAAATCACTGAATGGTTTGGGTTGGAAGGGACCTTAAAGCTCAGCCCTTCCCACCCCCTGCCATGGGCAGGGACACCTTCCACTAGCCCAGGTTGCTCCAAGCCCCGTCCAACCTGGCCTTGGACACTTCCAGGGATCCAGGGGCAGCCACAGTTTCTCTGGGCAACCTGTGCCAGGGTCTCCCCACGCTCACAGGGAAGGATTTCTTCCCAATATCCCATCTTTCCCTGCCCCCTGGCAGTGGGAAGCCATTCCCCATTGTTGTATCACTACACGCCCTTGGAAAAAGTCCCTCTCCATCTCTCTTATGTGATGCACCCACATTCCAGGTCCAGGACCACCAGCCCTACAAAAGATCCAGTCCTGGATTAAACCCCAAAAGCTGAAGCCAAGCATATTTGAGATTTAACAATCCAGTATTTTTCACAAAGAGCAACTCTCTGGCTGAACTCACGCCATGCACAGCAGACTGGTAATACAAAATTAATCCATACTGACGTAAAAATAAGTAAACCTCAACATCTTCTGTGCATTTCCAAAGCTCTTAAAACAGATTGAGGCACTTCACTCTTTCCCAACCACAGTAACCTGTGATTTCTGGGGATCTTGGCATGTGGCAAAAGAATACCCACTGTTATATCCCCAAAATGCTCAGCAGCATCCCGGCGAGGAGGACAGGAGCTGGCATGGCCATCCTGCATCCCCCCTGCCCTGCCTGGCACAGGCTGCCTCTCCCAGATTTCCTCAGCATTCCTCACTAAGGATCATGTGAAAAGGAAACAGAATCCAAACCGCAAAATTATGGAATCACAGTTGTTAAGGTTGGGAAAGACCTCGCAGACCAAGTCCCCCCTGTGCCCGATGCCCACCTTGTCCCCCAGCCCAGAGCACTGAGTGCCACGGCCAGGCCTTCCTGGGACACCTCCAGGGATGGGCACTCCAAACCTCCCTGGGCATCCCCTGACAAGGCCTCACCACCCTTTCCAGCAACAAATTCCTCCTCCTGGCCAACCTGAGCCTCCCCTGGCACAGCTGGAGGCCGTTCTCTCTTGTCCTGTCACTTGTTCCCTGGCAGCAGAGCCCGACCCCCCCCGGCTCCCCCCTCCTGTCAGGGACTTGCAGAGCCAGAAGGTCCCCCCTGAGCCTCCTTTTCTCCAGGCTGAGCCCCCCCAGCTCCCTCAGCCTCTTCTGCTGCTCCAGCCCCTTCCCCAGCTCCGTTCCCTTCCCTGCACACGCTCCAGCCCCTCCGGGTCTCTCCTGTTGAGGGCCCAGAACTGGGCACAGCCCCGGAGGTCCCCTCATTCTGCCAGCACAGGATGGGCTGTTTGGGATTTAGTGTAACATCGAAGCAAATTATTCTAACATGGAGCTTCACTTTCCAACCACATTTAAATTGTATAAATCCCTTAAATACTAAAACCTGCCAATAGTTTTTCTGCCTCCAAAGATCCCTCAGGCTCTCAGCCACATATTCCAGCACCTGTCAAGTAAACACAAATGTTTCTGTTTCTCAGCATGCTCCTGGCTCCTGTTCCTTTGTGGGGTTTCCAAAAGCAAGAGTCTCCCCACCAGGGAGGAGAAGGCTCCTGAACAGCATGGCCCTTCCATTCTGCACTCCCTGCAGGCACCACAGATGTGCCAGAAGTTAATCTGCAGCACTGAGCTAAATGAGTCACCCTCCCTCAGCACAGGTGACTAAATCAGCCTAACCATCCATAATAAACCAAAGCTTTCATCAACAAACCATTTAACCAGGAGCTCACCCATTCACCTGCATCAGTGACTCAATTAGAGCTCCTTTATTTCACTTTATTTCACTACTACTGAATGTAGTATTAAGTTCCTGATTCCCCCCCCCCCAAAAAAAGGATGTAAAGAGCTGTCATTTATCTCCCTATTTTGCACAGCTGATTTGGAGATGTGTGGGCAGAACACAACACAGCAAAGGCTTAGGGAACAGTAAGTAAGTGAGGAGAAAGCTGATTTATTAACCATTAACCCAACAAGGGAAGGTCTGGTTCTGCTGCATGAGGATGGGGATGCAGGAGGAAGCTCCCTGGTCCTGGAACTGGCCTGATCCCACTGCAAGGGGGTCATGTTTGTGTGTGTGTGCCCTGAGCCCATGAGGAGCCAGCACACAGGAAGCACTTCTGGCAAAAAAAGTAACTGCAGGATCCTTTAATTTGCCAAAATGCAGAGAGAAGGTGATCCCTCGTTTATACAGCGTGGGGGTCAAATTTAATATATAAACAGTGAATTAGAAATGGGATGGATAATCAAATTTCTTTGTGCACAACACAATTACAAAATAAAAAAGGAAACCCCCTCCCCACATAACCACTTCAGCAGACAGGCCCAGCCTGTAAGGAGGGGGCACGTGGAAAGGGTTTTTTGTCTGGAGGAGCTGGCACACGAGGTCAGCCTGGTCCCAGTGCAGGAGGCCAGCCCTGATCCCGGGTCTGGGAGTGCTGGGATGGCTGCTTTCTGCCAGCCTGTTACAGCAGGGTGTTACACACACCAAGGGGAAAAAATATATTCAGGCATTTTTCAAAAATGACAGGCTAAGGAAGGCGAATTGCCAAAAATCTTGCTGAAATTCCACAGGAATTTGGTACAGAAGCTTCTCTGATTTGCTGGCAAAGAGAGATTTGAACATAAGAAATCACAGGCCTTTCAAGATTTCAGCCACTCGTGGGATTTTTTTCTAATATAATTATCACAAGAATCATAGAATCCCTGAATGGTTTGGGTTGGAAGGGACCTTAAACACCACCTTATTCCAACCTCCTGCCATGGGCAGGGACACCTTGCACTAGCCCAGGTTGCTCCAAGCCCTGACCAACCTGTCCTTGGACACTTCCAGGGATGGGGCAGCCACAGCTTCTCTGGGCAGTGCCTAATGCAGCCTCTAGCACCTTTTTCCACACTGAAATCATGAAAAGAAGTTACAGAAACAGCCACATAAGCCCTTTTTCTATACAGTCTGTGTGAAAGGGGCAATGATTAGAATGAAATCATTTTCAATCCCTATAAACTGCCCTTTTTCCTCCTGTATCCAAGGACTGGCTTCTGCATGGCAAGAGCATAAACAGAAGGAAGGTGGTGAAAGCTTCAGCACCTCCAGGGAAGCAGAGGGAAGCAGAGGGAAGCAGAGGGAAGCAGAGGGAAGCAGAGGGAAGCAGAGGGAAGCATCTGTACCTGCAGGTTTAACAGAACAGCTCCGATCCTCATGGCCTCACTCACTTCCAGGCTGTACATCAGCTGGGGAAAGCGGGGAGGGCTCTGGTTGTTGGGTGGCAGGACCTCGATGTAAACAGTGGTGATGGAGCTCCTGCAACACAAGGGGGGGGGGGGGGGGAAACACAGTCCAAGCCAGTGAAAATCAATAAATCAACAAGCACGAGCGACCCACAAAGTCTGGTTTATACACTGTGTGTTCTCCAGCTCTAACGACCTCCCTTTGCTTCTTTAAAAGCTTTGGGATGTGTTTTTCCCCCCCGAATCAAAAGAAAAGCCATTAAAAGAAGAAAAGCTAAATAATTTCCCTCAAAGTAGCCCGAAGTGGTGTTCTTTCAAAAACAGAGCAGCAAGACACCAGTGCACACTCCACACACAAACACAGCTCACGATGCCCTGGTGATCCTGTGTCCTCTATAAGACATTCCAAATTCTGAGCTGGTAACTGCTCCTGCCACACACAACATCCACCCCTGGAGCTTCCCTGCTGTCAGTCCATTTGCTACCTTTCCTTGGAAGAGAGGGATAGAGAGGATAATGCTGGGAGAAGCCACAGACACAGCTCTCTGGCAGGACACAGCAATACTGTGGGTCCCACCAAGAAACCCCAGCCCAGTCCGGAGCAGTGGCAATACAGGAAACGACAAATCCCATTGTGGAAACCTGGCAAAGCCTTCAACTGCCCTGAATATGCTGCAAACAGCATTCCAGGGGGAATGCTGAAGGCTCTGGGGGACACTGACACTGCAGACCCTCCACAGACCACCCTGTGAACCCACTTGCTACTCAACTGCTCCAGTCTGAGAAAAGGAGCCAGAAGTCTCCCTGAAGTTGAAAGTGATTTAAAATCTGGCTTAAAGGCACTTTTCTCTTGCCTCTTTGCTCCATTATCCCACCTGCCTTCTCTCCTGGATGTTAGAACAGCACTCCCACCCCAGGACAAAACCCCTGGGAGAGCGAGTGCTGTGCTGCAGGTGCAGGTTTTCCCTACACCAGCCCTTTGACAAAGTTGGGAAATCTCATGTTTTAGGGCTTCAGGAAAGAAACCAAAGGGGTTTGTCCCAATTTTTTTGAAGGGGGGTGGGGAAAGGTAGAAAAAAGAAAATCATGAACCCAATGAGCTGCTTCTTGCAGGGCCAGCAAACTCCAGAGCAGTTTTAGAGGGTCCTACCTGGAATTACCAGCTATGTTAGAGTTGAAACAGCTGCTGTGTGATCTGATGGAGCTCATTTAATACCGGAGCAACACATCACTGATCAATACTTTAAAATGACAAAGTTACAAAATTCTGACCGAGCACAGTCCCCGCTCTGTTCTGGATGTTCCCCACTGCCCTTTCCCAGCAGGTTCTGTGACTCTGGGTCACTGTGGGAGCTGGGCAGAGCACTTCAACACCGGGACAGATGTGCTGGGGACTGTCCCACAGCACTCTGGCCATGCTCCACCGTAACAAACCTCCAGTGTCCCCTGTCCAGAAGGACAAATGCCACCCACAGGGAAGGGCTGCAGGAACTCTGTCCCCTGGGGCACATCCACACACAGAACCCTCAAGGAAGGGATTAAATCCAGCCTGGTGTGTCCCATCTCTCACGGCTCAGCTCCAGCTTGGAGCACATCCAGCTCTGTGAGTACTGAGGAGGAGGAAGGGAGGAGGAAGGGAGGAGGAGGAGGAGGAGGAGGAGGAAGAGGAGGTGCTCCAGGTGGCAGAGCACCTGCAGCCCATGGGGAGACCTTGGTGGGAAAGAGAAAGGTGTGGGGAGGATGGAATGAGAAAGGGGTGCTGTGGACTGCCTGTAACCCCTGTGACCCCTGTTCCCCACCGCCATGACACTCAGAGGCAGAGCAGTTTGGGGTGAAGGACTGGAGTTGAGCCTGGGAAAAAGGGTGGGAGAGAGCTGTCTCTATTTCTTACCAACAAACCCCATTGTAACTGGCAATAAGTTCATAGAATCATAGAACCCTACACTGGTCTGGGTTGGAAGGGACCTTCATGGAGTTCCAACACCCTGCCGTGGGGGTTGGAACTTCCACTAGACCAGTCAAATCAATTCTTGCCGAGTCTGTCCTGCCTGTGACAGTAATTGGTGACCTGCTTGTCCTGATCTCAATCCAAGAGCTTTCCCACCTTATTTTCTCCCCCATCCTGCTGAGGAGGGATAGTGAGATGGCTGAGAAGGTGTCCAGCAGCTGGCCAAGGCCAACCCACCACCTCCACGTTAACATTAGGTACAAGCTGACTCTTAACAAGCCTTTAATGGTCATTGCTCCACCACTCCCCATGCCATGGAATCCCAGAAATCCTCCAGCTGTGCCCAAAAATCCTGGCTGCCAGCTAGTCTGGGGCAATCCCGAGCTTCCCACAGGCAGCATGGAAGATGGATAATTACAGCAGGAGTTGAACATTCCCTAATGACCTCCTTATTATATATTACCTCCTGTCTTCTTGTCTGTTTTAAACTATCCCCTCACATCTCCCTGATCTACCTGAATTGATGTTCCACACTTCTATTGATGGAGTAAAGAAAACCACCATCAGCAGATGATCAACAGACACCATGAATCAGCAGATAAAACATCCCTTGAGCACTGGCTGCCTGTTTTCTTGGGATAGCTGCTGCCTGTGTATGGAAGACACATCCAAAGAGCTGGGGTTTTAGTGTGTTTATCCCCTTTCCACTGCTGAATAGTTAATAAAATATATTGTTCTGTATCGTGTTCTTCCTGATTCTGCTACAGCTAAATAAGGCTCAGGATGAGTTATTTTCAATCAAGTTCTAAAAGCAAAAATGGTTTTTGTTCACCACAACAGAAGGGCATTTAGTGCCAGCACAAGGGGGAATGGCTTCCCACTGCCAGAGGGCAGGGTTAGATGGGATATTGGGAAGGAATTGTTCCCTGGGAGGGCAGGGAGGCCAGAGAAGCTGTGGCTGCCCCTGGATCCCTGGAAGTGTCCAAGGCCAGGTTGGACAGGGCTTGGAGCAACCTGGGCTAGTGGGAGGTGTCCCTGCCCACTCATTACCTGTATTAACTTTCCCTCTCGCATTCCCCATGTGAGGAAAAGGTTTGCACTTCACGGCTGTGGGAGGTTTAAAAGGTGGAACCTGCTGTTCCTTTCTGTCATCCTCTTTGGAACAGGGAGGTTGTCACATTATCAATACCAGACCCAGACCATGAGAGGCATTTTTTTTTCACCCCCACACCTTCCTGAAATGACATTTGGGCACAAATGCCATATTTAGAACACAAACTCCAAAGATCCAGGTCAGCAGGACTCAATACCTTTACTTTCTTAAACTTAGAGAATCACAGAACGGCTTGGGTTGGAAGGGACCTTAAAGATTGTGTTTTCCACTCCCTGCCGTGGGCATGAGTGGAACCATCCTAACCATCCTAAATTTTCAACCTGCTCTTCTTTATCAGCTGGAGGAAGAGGAGGTGCTCCGGGTGCCAGAGCGGAGACTCCCGTGTGCTGGTGGGAATTCAGGTCTCAATGGGGGCACTGCTCACCACTGGCACAGCTGGTCAGGATGGCCCCCTCATGCCAAGTCTGGGTGACCCTGCACATGCTACACCCGGAGAGAAGGTCTCCAGCTCAGCAACCAGGGTATTTCTGGTCCTTTCTGCGTTCTGAACAAACAGCATCTCCCTTCCCACTTGCTTTCTTCCTGACGTCCCCTCACCTCAGCTTCTCCCAGCGAATGGACATGCACAGTGACAGCACAGTTGGGAACTCTTAAAAAACCAGGCTATTACAAGCAAATGAAATCATGGAAAGGGGGAAGGGAAGGAAACAAAGCAAATAGAATTAAGGAACAAAAAAGGGAAAGAGTTCTAACATGATACTTTTCCTTCCACCACACAGAAGACACAGGATTGTATTGCAGGGTGGAGGGACAGACAGGAGGGTGCCACACTGAGCACTGCTGGAATAAGGAGTTCAGGAAAGCTGCATTACCTTCTCTGTGCAGGAGGAGCACTGTCAGAGGCTTTGACAGTGAGAGCGTAGGATCGCCCCACTGCCAGCACCACTCCTGGAGCGATGGTGACAAGGCCTGTTCGCTCATTGATGCTGAAGTCTCCCTGATCCCCAGCCAAAATTTCATACACTATCTGGCCATTGGGTCCCTCGTCCGCATCTACAGCTGTGAGCTGGAATTAAAACCACAGTGTCAGTGTTGGGCCTTCACAGGCCGTGGGGAGGCAACTGGGAGGGGGAGAGGAGGCAGAGGGGAAACTCCAACAGCTGGAACATAGGAAGGAATTTCTAATCACTGTCCAACAAAGATACAGTTTAAATGGAGGGTAATAGGTGTAAAAACATCATGAAGCAGAGAAAAGCTGCTTACTAAAGACTGCAAGCCATTTATTTTAAGGTACAAATTAAGAAACCTAATTAAGACCAAGTTTCCTCTCTGTGGATTGGAATTTCTAACACTTCCTATAAAGGGGGAAGAAGACACTTATTATGTTGCAAAAGTAACAACAGGATCATATTTGTTTACTGGAAGTTCCCATCTCTCCCTACACCATTCAAAGGGACAGCCTTGGTACTGCCAGGAGGTTTCACTCCCAGGTCTGGCATTCCGAGCTCTCGTTGTGCAGAACTGGAGAACAAAGTTTGTATTAATATGCACATACTCTAAAGAGCCAAGGGGAGGGAGATGGCAGTTGTTCCCATATGGATACACATGGAGAATCACAGAACCATTAGGCTGGAAAAGCCCTCTGAGATCATCAAGTCTGACCATTCCCCAGCACTGCCAAGGCCACCACTAACCCATATCCCCAGGTGCCACATCCACACACCTACTAAATCCCTCCAGGGATGGGGACCTCCACCACTGCCCTGGGCAGCCTGTTCCAATGCTTGACCACCCTTTCCACGAAGAAATTTTTCCTAATATTCAAACTAAACGTCCCCTGGTGCAACTTGAAGCCGTAGGAAACACATCCCAGACGTGCAAGGCCCATTTCACGGGGCAAGGTGACACCACCCCCCTGACAGGCTGTGCTTGGGGGTGATCTCAGGGTGAGACAAACACAACTGGGCACATCCCTCTGTACTCTGGTGACTCTGCACCATCTCTGCTGGCTCGGTGGTTACTCCCACCTGCAGTGTTTCTTCCTTACCGTTGCACAGTTTTGATTCTGAGCATGAGAAAAACCCAAAGGCCCAAATTCTACTGATGACCATAATGAAATGAGGGGGTTCTTATCTTGCCCCTGGGAAAGGCAGTGGGTTTATCCCACTTCTGTAGCTTGCAATGTTAAAACAAACGCACACGCAGCCAGAAATTAAAGCTCAGGGAACATTTTGGCTTTGAGTGACAAGAAGAATCACAAAATAGAATCCCAGAATGGTTTGGGTTGGAAGGGACCTTAAAGCCCATTTCATTCCAAGCCCTTGCCATGGGGCAGGGGCACCTTCCATAAGCTCAGGTTGCTCAGAGCCCCACCCAGCCTGGCCTAGTTGCTCTTCTTCCCTTAGGGGTTGTTTTGCAGATACAAAACACACACTGCTTCCTTAACTGGCTTTTCATTTGGTACAACTACATGTCCCCTCAAACAGCATGTGGGAGGACATAAAGCCACATGAACAATAATTGAACATCCAGCAGGATAAAATTCTGCCTGCTGGGCAACCTGTTTCCCCCCCTGTGACACCCTCAGAGGTGACAGCACTACAGACAGGTAGAGGAGTTTAGTGACATCTCTGCTATGCTATGATCTAAAATAATCTATCAGTCAATGCTGCATCACACTTGAACTTCAGCAGGTCAGGGATGCCCAGAGCACCACCTCCAGCTGCCAAACCACCACCTCCAGCTGCCAAACCACCACCTCCAGCTGCCAAACCACCATCTCCAGCTGCCAAACCACCACCTCCAGCTGTGAAACACCTCCTACAGCTGTGAAACCATCTACATCTGCCAAAACACCTCCTACAGCTGTGAAACCACCACCTACATCTGCCAAACCCCCACCTACATTTGCCAAACCACCTCCTACAGCTGCCAAACCACCCCCTACAGCTGCCAAAATGTCACCTACAACTGCCAAAGCACCTCCTACATCTGCCAAAGCACCACCTAGATTTGCCAAACCATCCCCTACAACTGTGAAACCACCACCTACAGCTGTCAAACCATCCCCTACAGCTGCCAAACCACCTTTGCCCAAGGACGGCTGAAGAACTGGAAGAGCAGAAACCAAACCTTGTCCCTAAAACAAGAAACCAGAGCTGTAATATTTGAGTTAATCACATTTTCATACAACCTTAATCACCAAGGGGAGTATGTGAGTCACTGAATCATAGAAACCCAGAATGGTTTGGTTTGGAAGGGACATTAAAGATCCTGTAGTTCCAACTGCCCCTGCATTAGGCAGGAACACCTTCCACAAGAAGGTTGGTTAGAGCCCCATCCAGTTTGGCCTTGGACACTTCCAGGGAAAAACTCAGGGATCTAACTGCTTTATAAGATATTTCTGATTCTTTACAGGCTCAGTGAAATATGAAATTTCATGTAGAAAGTCAAAAACCTGTTCAAACCAAGATCTGAGCACACAAAATCTTAAAGAGAATGTATTGACTGAAATGCTAAAATTTAAATATATTAACAAAAATTTACCTTCTTTGTTAGGAGTACCAGCTATTCCTGCTGTTGGGAACTGAGCTACTTTAGGCAGGACCAATCATTTTGAACATGGAATAGGTTGTGCACAGTATTCACCAACTAAAAATCACATTAATTATGTCACTTTTCTCCTGGAGCAATCAGTGTTCTGCTTCTTTCACACCCAGCACAGTGACCCAAAGCAAATTTCCAACACAGAACTATTTAATTTTCCTAAACTGGTTGCACTTAAAAAGCAAATCTTAATTCCTACAGTATTTTTCGACACTGTATTTTGAGCACGGGATAAACCCTTGAAACGCCCCAAAAAATCATGAAACGGATTTCATCTCCCCTTAAAAGGTTTCAAAACCATATTTATATCCACGTGTGAGGGTTTTTATCTAGCTCATTCTGTATTTTCTTTTGAAATTCCGAAAAGGATGAAGGCTGCACTTTAATCACCCCTTCTGCAGTTTCTCTCCACACAACTGGACGTGTTCATTAACCTCACAGGGAGCAGTAATCCACCTCAGTGACACAGATAAAAAAGGAGCTGTAATAAACCTTCTCTGCTGAACTTCAAAAGTAACACACACACAAAAAAAGGTAAATAAAGGCTTTATGCAAAACACAAGGCCCTAAGTATTTAATGACAGGATTTGGAACCGGGCCACTTTTTACTGTGACAGTATGAAAAAGGAAAATTAATTGACTACACAAGCCCATATATTTAGAAGGTTAATTAAGCCTACAAATGCTGAATGCTTGGAAAGATAAGTGATTTGAATAACATTTTGGGGGCAAAAACGGGAATCAAAACTGGAATTAAATAGAATTAAAGTTCAACAGCTGCCATAATATATGATTTTAGAAATTCCATCTCCAGTTGTCCCAGACTGATAGAGCTTCATAGTTAACAAGATTTGAGAAACATGGGCTAAAATATACAGGAAGAAGAGCAAAAGAAGGTTTATTTTACTTTCCTGAAAAGCTTTGCATGCAGCAGTATAGGCTCCATTGCATTAATATTTAATGTACTGAAAGTTTTGCAAAATGGGTGCATGTTCTGCTGCTGCAAGAACTGATTTTCATGGGAGAAAAAGGAGGTTTAGAAGGATGACCTTAAGCTCACAAAGACATTCTGGGTCACAATATAAGCTCTGGTCAGACTCACTTTATAGTTGGAGGAAATTGGGCTTCGGTGTTTGACTTGTCAGCTTTTCACAGCAACACTTTCAGTGACCTTGCCCTGGACAGACAAAGTGAGGCCCAACCTTTCCAGAAGTCTTTGCCAACAGATTAAATGTGATGGAGATATTCCAGGATTGTGATGGAAATAATCCAAGACTGTGATGGAGATATCCCTGAACTTGAGCCAACCAAACACAGAGCAGGTCAAAATACTTTTTCATTATGTTCTCAGGTCTTTACCCCATAATTTTACCTGAGTCTGCAGGGACGCTGACTGAGCAATGCAAACACAACCCAGCTTTGTTTCCTTTTCCTGCTAATCATGTTTACTTTGGAGATGGAAATTAATAACGTGATGGGCAAAGGGTTGCAAATAACCACATAAATAAAACATTAAGTGGGGGTTGGAGATGGCTTTTATGAAGATTTCTTTTTGGGAAAAGGTTCTTCCCCCAGAGGGTGGTTGGCACTGACCAGGCTCCCCAGGGCAGTGGGCACAGCCCCAAGGCTGCCAGAGCTCCAGGAGGGTTTGGACAATGCCCTCAGGGACAGGGTGGGATTGTTGGGGTGTCTGGGCAGGGCCAGGGGTTGGACTGGATGATCCCTGTGGGTCCCTTCCAGCTCAGGATATTCCATGACTCTAAGGTCTCCCCTAAACTGTGCTGCAGTTTTATGGCAAGGTGCAGGTTTAAGAGCTGTAAACCATGAGCATATTCCAACCTCCAAATACCCAAAATGCTCTGTGCAATCAAGAGCTGGGGCAGGACCTCTGAATTAACCTGCACTGGTGATCTCAGGCAGAATTTTTCAGAGGTGAACAGGTCATAAACCAATCCACTGCATGCTGGATTTTCCATTTTCAATGAGAGATACTTAATTGTTCTTGGAAAAGAGCCCTTGAACGTGGGTCATGCCACTGCGAGAGATTAGGTAGAAATTAAGAAACATGAATAAATTGAAACAGGTTATTTTGGTTTCACGACTTTAAAGAGTAAAAAGAGAAGAATTGGGGTTGTTCAGCCTGGAGAAGAGAAGCTTCAGGGTGACCTAATTGTGTCCTTCCAGGGCCTGAAGAGACTGAGAAGAAACATGGAGAGAGACTATTTCCAAGGGCCTGGGGAATGGCTTCCCACTGCCAGAGGGCAGGGTTAGATGGGATAGTGGGAAGGAATTGTTCCCTGTGAGAGTGGGGAGGCCCTGGCACAGGTTGCCCAGAGCAGCTGTGGCTGCCCCTGGATCCCTGGAAGTGTCCAAGGCCAGGTTGGACGGGGCTTGGAGCAACCTTGTCCTGAGTTTTAAGGTCCCTTCCAACCCAAACCATTCCAGGATTCCATGATTGTTGGACACACACCTAAAGACCACTTGACAAGTCTTCTTCTAAAGACAAAATACACAAAATCTCTTCATGGGCCAAGGAATCCTCAGACCCTGAGGCAAATTTATGGCAAGTTTTAGGTGAATGATGTTTTTTTACCATCCTCTGTCCCTTCCCAGCTCTCTCATCTCCTTGCTCAGCATTCCCTGTGCCCAGCACAGTTCATGCTGTCCGTAAAATGAGAGATGTCTAAAGAAACACAGTGGATTTAAATCATTCATCTGAAATGTTATGGCACCACTGCTCCATACTCCAACCATCAATGTACAGCCAGTTTAAATATCTGAATCACAGCAGTAAAAGGGTGGAAAACTGGACAGCAAAAAATACAATAATAAAGATGAAAATAAGTACTTTAATAGGTTTGCTATTAATCAGTCTTCCTAGTGACAAATATTATTTACCACACATTTAACTGTTTTCAGTGACAGATTTCTCAGTCTCAATTGCCACAAAAAAATACACATAAAAGCAGAAGGAAAAACCAGATAAGAAATTCTCAAGTAGAATGTAAAGACATTTAAACTTTACTTTCCTCTCCTCAACCAAGGCCTCAAACAGTTTCACATGTACTGAAAACAGACAGCTTAAATAAAAACTTCTGCTCACTTCTCTGAAAGGCCCCAGGGAAAGAAGGGAAATTCCTTGCTCTAACCATGCAGGGAGAAAGAAAAGGATAGGGGAAAAAATTGAATTTTTGCCTGTAATTAATGCATTTTCCTGCTAGTTTTGGCTATTTTCAAGCAGAAATTAAGGATTTTTTATTTTCTTTAAGTTTTTTTTGGAGCGTGCCAGAGAGTAAACACAATCTAAACTATTAATTAATATGTTTTGGGGTTCTTTTCAGTAGTAAAATCAAGCCAATTCCCCACAAAATGGGGAAATGAGAAAGTAAAAACTGAGGCTATTGGTATATTTTATTTGTACATTTTCATGCAGCTGCACTCAGTTAAAAAAAAAAATAAGAAAACCATCTCAATCCCTTCTTACCCTCAGGATAATAAAAGCAAAGCGGCAACTCCCTGAGGGCACTTCCAGTGCTGTAGCAACATTTGCATTTTGGTAGCAGGATGACATGATTCATAAAGGAAAATCTGTCTTGATCCTCTCTGAAATCAGCCTGATTATTATAATAAATGATTATGAGCTCGTGCAGATTTTCTGAGGTCACTGTTCTTTTTCTAACCTCCTTCCTCACATCAGAGAGTGGTTTTTATGAACTAATCATATCTGACCTGGGTCATTTTCCTGTGGGAACTGTCAGGGCTGAGCAGAGGATCTCAAAGGATCCTCACCCCGGGGATTAGCTCGGGTTACATGGGGAGTTTGTTCCATGTGCCAAGAACAAGCCATCAAAATCACTGTATTAGAGTTCAAAAAGTGGAAAAGAAAGGTCAGTTTTGCCTTTGAGGTCGTTATAAAGCAGAAGAAAATTGAAATCAGGCAGCACAAACCCACCTTCCCGGCCTAAGGAAACCCTGGGAATTTATATAGAAAAAGATGAGCAACTTTCCAAACAGCACAGCAGCCCAAAACCATTCTCATGGAATCACAGAATGACCTGAGTTGGAATGGACCTTAAAGCTCATCTTGTTCCACCCCCTGCCATGGGTAAGGACACCTCCCACTAGCCCAGGTTGCTCCAAGCCCCGTCCAACCTGGCCTTGGACACTTCCAGGGATCCAGGGCAACCACAGCTTCTCTGGGCAACCTGTGCCAGGGACTCTCCACTCTCACGGTCAAGAATTCCTTCCCAATATCCCATCTAACCCTGCCCCTGGCAGTGGGAAGCCATTCCCCCTTGTCCTGTCCCTCCATCCCTTGTCCCCAGTCCCTCTCCAGCTCTCCTGGAGCTCCTTCAGGCCCTGGAAGGGGCTCTCAGATCTCCCTGGAGCCTTCTCTTCTCCAGGCTGAACAATCCCAATTCTCTCAGCCTTTCCTCATGGCAGAGCTGCTCCAGCCCTCTGATCATCTCCTGAGAACCCAGAGGTGGACTCTCCTTTTATTCCTGGCATCATCACAATACACCAAAATCTTAAATATTGACTCTTACTTTTTTTTTAAGTCAGCTAATTTATAAACTCAGATCATCTGGCAATGTAAGATGAGTTGGTAAAAGAGCCATAATTTTCTCCCTTCCATCTCTGACCACATTATGAAGTCACAGAACCTGAAAGGACCCACGTGCCGACCACGTGCAGAATTTACATTTTTTAGCAAAGGTGAATTTAGAGCCAAACTTCCTCACTACTCCTTCCCCAAAGGACCTTGTCCAGATCAAGTTCATTAAGAAATTTGTACTCCTCCTCTTTCCATGCCTCCAGGCCCTGAATATGTTTGCAGCTCCAAGACCAGAATGTGTCTGAGAACTCAAGAGCAGCACATTCCCTCTGAGCACAGCAGCACTTCAGGTGCTTCAGACAAGCACAAGATGCTGCTCTGCTTCATCCCAGGTACCATTAACAGACCTCAGGTAGCCCAGAGCATCCTCAAGGCCAATTTTGGGCAGGAAAACATTCTTTTCACACACCCAGCAATCTCATTTAGCAACATTTTCTACCTTACATTCCCTGGCTCCTTCAGGATATCTTTTGATATCTTGATATCTTTTGTTTCCACTTGTGCATGGCTTGAAGGAACTCAGTTGTGCTTAGAACTTTTATCTTTCCCTCAAATTTTGCTGAAAATGCCCCCGTGGCTCTCACTGATGGTTTTTCAGCACTTGCAGCTTAAGAAGATTGGTGAAAAGGCAAGAATAACATGAATGAAGATGCAAATGCACAGCTACAGCTCAAGGGGGGCATGTGCCAGAACAGACACTGAGCCCCCTCCTAATGCTGGTAAATCACTGCTACCCTGATTAACTCCCGACTGTAATTCAGAAAATGGCATTTTATCACTCAAGTTGGCTGATTAATTTTATTTTCCCGATATTCCCACCGCCTCCACCAATGGCATCTTGTCCTTACCCATCTCCACTGGCAGCACTCAGGGCATGGCTGAGATCTCAGAAGAATTACCACCCCAAAAAAAGCCTTTTTCCATTAACTTCAGTGCCACCGGGATTCACCTCCAGTCCTGCACTGAGACATAAATCAGTGCTGGCAAACTTTAATTAAAGCTGCTTCTCTCTGGGCCCGTGTTCAGCACATTTTTTCACTGCTCATTTGCTCTACAAACAAATGACTTGTAAAAACCAACAGGTTTTATGACACGGTAAAAACATTCCTGGTTATGTTCTACTCAACTGTTTACCTGTTCCCCCAAAGCATTTTATTTCAATATCTTGCTAATCAAGGGGAATATTATTTTTTCTTCTGAAATTTTCCAGCTGAAAAGGTTTTGCAGAACTTCAGGTGAAACAGCTGAGCTGCAGCTGTACATCTAAGACAGGCCTACCATTTAGTAGGAGCAATTTTAATAGTTATTTAACTAATGAAGTGGATGGAGATACACAAAATTAAGTTCTAGCTGGTTTCAGTGCATTTCCAATCTACTGCTAACAAAAAGTGAGTCAACAAAGCCAATAAAAAGACCTGAAATTACCTTTATAACACCTTCCCCAGGCCTCATATCCGTATAAATCTTGACATTGTAAGAGATGTTGGAGAAGGTGGGGGAATTATCATTTGCATCGATCACCAGGATATTGACAGTCACTGGGACACTCTCCTGGACTCCATCAGAAGCTGTCATCTTCAGCAGGAAAAAAATAAGCAGAATAGGAACATATTTTAATGGTGTGTTCTTAATACAGTTCCAGCTGTGAGGAAATACAGTGTGACGACCAAAAATCAGCATTTCACTTCTCTCTGCACTTCAAAATTCCACGAGGTTTCAGCTGAGCTTGAGCCTGCAGAGTGCAAGACTCAAGGGAAAAAGCAAAGCAAACCCACACCTTTGAAATGCTCTGTGTCAGGTGGGCAGGAGAAATGAGAGGGAATCACCTGGAACTTCCCAGGGTTGGGACCAGGATATGAGCCACAGTCCATGGCTGGGAGGGATGAGCCACCTGTCAGGTCTCACCTGGGCATCACCACACAAAGGAGCTCCTCTACCTCTGTTAAACCTCCAAGAGAGCATTTCAAGGTGGCACTGAAAGAGCTGAAGGCCTTTTTACTCCAGAGGGGAAATCTGAGCTCTCCTTTCAACTGCTAAAAGGACAGAAAATAGGGAGGCACAGACTGGGAACCCTGGCAGAGGAACAGCCCATTTCCAAATTGCTGCAGGGCCGTTGTTTACCCACAGCCTGAGGGACTATCAAGTCCATTTTTTCCTCTTTATTTTTTTTTTTTTTAAATACTGCTGGCTGGGGTTTATTGCAGCCTAGTTTTTTATTTGCTCCTGAAAACAAGCAAAAAGACCAAGGCAGGTGTCACGTTCCTGGCTCAGGGGACGAGACAAGAAAGGCACCGATGGCCTCAAAGGCCAGGTATAAAAAAGTGGGCTCAGATGCTGCCATGGCAGGGGGGTGAGGAGCAGGGGACACACCTGGGACCATGGACACGATGCTCAGGGGGATCTAAACGCTGCTCTCAAGTTGGAGAAGCAGCCTGGAGGAAGGCACAGCCCCCATGAGCTCCCCTGGTTTCGCCGTTTCCTCCTCCTGGGCCGTTTTCCTGATCTCCAAGGGTGTCAGAACCAACCCTTTCTCCCAACAAGCTCTGACTGACCCTGCAGGGCCTTCCAGGGGTGGTCACTCACCGAGAAGGTGTAGAGCTGCTGGGTTTCTCTGTCCAGGGGCTGCAGCAGGGTGAGGTAGCGGGTGATGCCACTCTGAGTCACAGTGAAGAACGTGCTGTAATCGTTCAGGAAGAGATGGAGCTGGGGATCCTTGGTCTTCAAACAACATCGAGAAAAAAAGGGGGTTTTATTAGAAATTCACCTACACCATTAACTCTCCAATTATTTGATGCAAGTGCTTGATTTAGTTGAAACCTAAATAGGCAGAAAGTACAAACGCTGTGATTAAGAATCGTCAAAACTGTAAAAAAAAAAAAGGTAAAAACCCCCACTGCTGGTCTAAAAATCTAATGTTCTCCATGAAAAATGGATTAAACCCCTACTTTAACCTCTAGAGTGAGAAAATCCAATGGTAAACAAATACCTGCATCTGTTAGTTTTAAATGATTGCTTTTTTTTCCCTTTGAAACAGTAATTTCTAAGCCAAATATAACAGTATAAGAAACCAGATTCGAGCATATTAAAAACAAAACAAAACTGATCTTGATTAACAGAGCAATAAAACAGTTGGGTTGGTGCAATGAAAAATATAATGATGTGTTGAAATGCATCATTAAATAGATGCAGCTCAGAGACTCTCTGCATCTCAAAAAGAATCAAAATATATTGATGCAGAATTATGAACTTCTCGGTTGATCAAGGGAAAAAAACATAATAAATGAACTGTGGCACCGTTTCCATTAGCAAGTAACATTTTAAGGTAAATAAAGGCAAGTCAAGGCATTGTAAATTTACTCATGTCTTCATGAGTACTTCAGTCACTCCTGACTTCCATCTCTTTCAAGATGTTATTGAGTTATTTAACTGATTGGACTGCAAGGGTCACTCTACATTAGTTAAATTTGCAAACAAACTACATTAGCTTTTATTGCCTCCAGCATTCCAACAAATTCCCGTGTCCTTGTCCATAATGTGGTTAATTTAACCTGACTTTTTGGGCTACTCTTGGTCACGAGTGAGAGTCCATTTCTGTCAGATGAAGCCAAGCTGGTGGAGTGCAAATTCAACTCGAGAAAACACAAAAGGCTGGGAAACAAGTCCCATAAAAACTGGTTTAAATTGCCCCAAATAACATGGAGATGAGGGATCAGAGGGATGAATAAAACCCAGCAGAAAATTCAGGATTTTAGCAGCTGCTTTCCAACATCATTGCACAAAAGCCACCCCGTACAGGGTAGGACACACAATGCAGGCACAAACAGCTGAATTCAGCAAATTAACCAAAAAAAAGGAGCATTAGGCTCTTCCTCTCTCAATATTTTCTCACCCTGAGGCCACGATGCTTCCAGAAGGTTAATTCCTACCTGTCATTAGTGTCAGTCCTATTGGATTAGACCCCCCAGAGCACTGGAGAGGTCACCAACAGGCACTGAGTGGCATCATGAACAACTCCCAGGACAAAATTAGTACAATTAGAAGGAGAAAGAGGAACTTTTCTTAGTGAACTAGAACAAAGCCCATGCAAAGATTGCTCAATTTAAAGGAGAAACCATCCCAGTGTTCCAAACAAGTGGTTTCTCATTCCCTGGATCTTTGCTGAAATGCCAGCTCCCAGGAAAATTACAATTCCTTTTCCACTCAGCAATGCAAACAGCAATGTCTTTATTCCATGCAAAATTACAGGAGGTAGTTGCCAACAACTGCTCCCTTTGCAGACACTATAAAGCCAAGCAAAAATTTATTTTCCAAAAACCCCTGTTGGTTGTTACACTTCTGGTTTGTCATGTCATTTTGAACACTAATAAACAGTATTTTTTTCCTAATTTGCTCCCCAGGAAAAGCAATGATGGAGATCCCACGCCCTCCCAAAGTAATCCATCCTATTCCTTTGCTATTCCTGCATTAGCAACGTTATCCAAATGTGGAAGTTAAATTGCCTTTACAGCAATCAATGCCTAGTTCATGTGCCTCCCATGCATGTCAGACCTACAGAGCAATTTATTTCCTTAATCTTTCCTTAATCTGGAAAAGCACTGTTATGCCTTTACATCATTAGCATGGATATTTTACATTATTATCACATTTTGTGCTGCAAGAAAGTAGATCACTTAACTGAACATTTTGTGTGAGAGAATACAACTGTGGGAAACAATCCAGCAATGCTGCCAACACTATTTCCAATACTTTAATTTTTAAACTATTTTATTTTAGGGCCTGGAATTAAACACTGTGTTTTCTGGGTACACTACTGGGTCAGGCAGACAAGGCTGGTCTCTGAGGAATTCTTTAGCATGTGGTTTTATGTAGGAAAGGATCAGAATCCACACAAAAGAGTGCACATGCAACCTGCAAGGGCCATTTCAAGCACACAGTTCCAGCCTGAGAGGGTTTAGTAGGTACTTTTAAACCTGACATGGTTTAGGAGGTACTTTTTAAATTAAAAAAGGACTTTTTGTAATACTTAAGATGTCTGTGAAGACATATAATTATTTAATGAACATTAAGCATTTAATGAACATTCACATGACTTTATGCCCTGAATTTGGTCCGGTGTGTTTAAAGGGCTCTTTGCAGGTTTCCCAAACCCAGAGACAGCTCCAGCCTCAAACACCATCAGGGCAGAGAAAAATGAAGGAGGACAAGAGGAAATAAATAAAGAAATCACACAATTGAAGGCAAGAAATGGAGTTTTTCAAACACAACACCCAATACCTACGGGCAGGGCACCTGGGGCGACCTACAAAGGAAAACAGGGCACAACATGAATCCAAGTGAGGAAACACAAACCTGGGACCGAGGGACATCAGGAGAGCAGGACATTTGGGGAATTAATGGCTACAGACAAAAAAACTGCAACAAAAGGAGGCACACAAAGGGCTCCAATAAACACTCAATAAACAAAGAATGGCCTTGGATGTGCTCTGCTTGAAAAATCTCTGGAGAAGTTCCTGCCTGGATGTTAATGTTCCATTCCTGCTGTGTAAACACACAAAGGTTTACAACTCTGCCCAAAGCAAACAGCTTTCCAGAATTTACTAAGATTAAACCAAAATTAAATGATATTGTCAAGACTGAGCAGGCAAGGACATATATTCTGTATGTGTTTCAACATCCCCAAGGATTTTTTGGAGGGAGTCTGTTTGGCTGTGAAGTTCTCCAGGGTAGCCAGAACGAGCTCCAAGACTATCCAAACTGCTCAGGCTTCCTGATTGCCAGCACAGGCTCATCTCCAAAGAGCTGCAGCAATAACAAAGAGACTTTAATGACACATCTGGGTTTCCCAGCATTCTCCACGTGGAGGATGATCAGCGCTGAAACGCCCACAGCGGAGAGTTGTTCTCTTGCAGAGATGTTTCCAGCATCTGCCCTCCTCGTTTCTGGGGGAAAGGAGAAAGTCTTTCCCACTTTCACTAGACAAATGTGAGATCCACAGCCTTGCAGAGGCACAGCAAGTGGGGTTATTGGTCCCAACACAAGAAAGACACTGACCTCTGGAAAAAGTCTAAAGGAGGCCACTAAAGCTGATCCCGGTGCTGGAGCCCCTCTGCTCTGGAGCCAGGCTGGGAGAGCTGGGGGGGTTCACCTGGAGAAGAGAAGGCTCCAGGGAGACCTGAGAGCCCCTCCCAGGGCCTAAAGGGGCTCCAGGAGAGCTGGAGAGGGATCTGGGACAAGGGATGGAGGGATAGACAAGGGGGAATAGCCTCACACTGCCAGAGGGCAGGGTTAGATGGGATATTGGGAAGGAATTCTTGGCTAGTGATGAGATGATCTTGATGGTCTTGAAGGTCCCTTCCAACCCAAACCGTTCCAAGGCCATGAAATGGTGCAGCTGTAACACGGCTGTGAGGGAGCAGAGAACCAAATTTAACTTCCCCTGTGTTAATCCACGTGTCAGAGATTCATGGAGAGCTTCCAGCCTGGGGTGGGCAGGAGGCTTCCAGCAGAGAAAGGCTGGGAGGACTAAATGGTAGCTCAGGGCGGGTTTGTAAGCACAGGTAATGCTCATTAACTGCTGCAGGTCTCAATGTTCTGCTGGCTTCATTGTACCTCCATAAATGAATGTATTTACTGAGTCAGGATTGCTGATGAGACATTGCCATCGCCCTCTCCGTGCCTGTGCATCTTAGTTTCCACTGGTGGCACTGGCTAAACATAATGTATTCTGTCTTCTAACTGAAAAATCAGTTGAGATTGTATTTCCTGTTAAAATGACTCCCTGTCTTCTGATAAATGCAGGAAGAAAGTGGGCATCTGAACTGTGTGTCTTAAGGAAAAAAAAAGAGAACAAAACACGTTCTAAATTTAAACCCCGTGGGAATTATAATTGAGTCCTGCTATAAACCTTCCAAAAATTAATTTATAGATGTGACATTGCAAACAGACCTTTAACTAGAGAAGCCCTGCCAAGTGCTGATATAATTAAGTGGTCTGTTTAAATGGCATAAATTAAATTAAGCCACACGGATACCTTAAGACCTGAGTAAACCAAAGCTGAGATGAGGAATTTAAACAGTCTGATCTGAGGGCTCTTTACATAAGGTTTCCCAAGCCACTGGCTTCCTTACTCTTGGGCTTCCATGGGAGAGAACTCATTTCTCTTATCTAGTGATTAGAGTTGCTGAGAAAGCTGCCCTGTGTATCAATCATGGAATGGTTTGGGTTGGAAGGGTCCTTAAAGACCATCCAGTCCCAACCTCTGCCACGGGCAGGGACACCTTCCAACTAGACCAGGTTGCTCCAAGCCTGGCCTTGGACACAGTTCCTGATGAATAGTCCCTCTCCTGCTTCCCTGTAGCTCCCTCAGATCCTGGAAGGTGCTGTGGGGCCTCCACAGAACCTTCTCCTCTCCAGGCTGAGCAGCCCCAGCTCTCCCAGCCTGTCTCCAGAGGGGAGGTGCTGACGGACACCGATGCCATCTTTGTCAGGTGTGCCAGCACATGTTCAGAACAGCACCTGTGTGGTACTCCTGGTGCTCCTGTGCAGCCTGTGCAGCATCCCTGGGCAGTGGGATAAGGCCCAGGGCACTACTGTGCCACTCCAGATTCTCTTTTCCCAGACACTTTCTTGGTTGATGCCTCCGTTACCTGTGGAGTTGAAGTCAAAGGAAGCTCAATATCCCAGGCACATGGTGGGATTCTTGGGTTATCCTGTGCAAGAGCTGGACTTGATCCTTGTGGGTCCCCTCCAGCTCAGGACATTTAGTGAGCTGTGTTTTCAGAGAACTTGTGGTAATTTTAAATGATTCTTTTACTTAAAGGCATCTCGGTAGCAACTGGAGCGGACGGAGCAAATAATGGATGAAATAAGTTTTAAATTTAACTACAAGCGCAGGTTATGGATTTCCAATAACAAATCCAGAAAAGGAAATTAATAGATTTCTTCACATTTTTTTTAACCAGGAGTTACCGAAGCATTTTTCTCTAATATTTGCCTGGTTGCTTCTATCTTTCACAGCTGTTGTTGTTTGAACTTGTTTTGCAGCTGATGTTCTCTCGAGAGGAGAGTTCTCATAACACTGAGCAGCACTTCTGGGCCACCCCACCAGTTATGGTAGGGAAGAATAATTCAGGAAATATTCCTCTCAGAATGAAACAGCCCATTAATATCATTATTAAAACAAGCAGAAGGGAAAGGCAAAGCCAAAAGGCTGCTTCTCTTTTTTAGGATTTATAAATATTAGGGTTTTTTAATTTTGGGGGATCTTTCACTTAAGGGAAATCAAAAATATTAACACTGAATCACTCCTGTAGCATTGTGTTTCTTCCTTTATTTGTGTAGGGTGAATATCTCATGGTTTCTGCCCTCTGAAGCTGTTTTTTCTCTCTCTGAGGTCCTTGGAGTCCTCAAGGAATTTGGGGGTTTGTGTATCTTCCCCGTTTTAAACAAATGTTACTGCTAATTAGTGGCACCACTGAAGCTGACACTTGTTTATTGTCATCTCCCACCAATGACTCATCTCTGTGAGGAACAGAAGGTGACTTTTTCCAAAACTTTCCCGTTAGCTTTTCATTCCAGGAGGGACATGGCCCTTTCTGCCCCAACCTATAAAATCTGAAAAGGGTCGTAACCCTTTCTGGTGTACGACTTTCTAGCCTTGCTTTGTGCAGGGGCTGGAGGGGCTTCGGTGGTGATTGAAAGAATTTGGAATTAAAGCACTGCTCAGCACCATCCTGGTCCTTGGTTTGACCTTTTGACATCTTTTCCTCCCAAGTGGAGTTGACATAAGTGCTGAAGAGCTTTCCATAGAATCCTAGAATGGTTTGGGTTGGAAGGGACCTTAAAGATCATCCAGTCCCACCCCTGCCATGGGCAGGGACACCTCCCACCAGTCCAGGTTGCTCCAAGCCCCATCCAAGCTGGCCATGGACACTTCCAGGGATCCAGGGGCAGCCACAGCTTCTCTGGGCAACCTGTGCCAGGGCCTCCCCACCCTCACAGGGTGTATTCCACCTGTATATCCAATGTAACCTAACTCTGGCAGTTTGAAGCCATTCCCCCTTGTCCTGTCTCTCCAGGCCCGTCTCCAAAGTTCCTCTCCAGCTCTCTTGGAGTCCCTTAAGTGACTGGAAAGGGCTCTAAGGTCTCCCTGGAGCCTTTTCTTCTCCAAGTGAACACCCCCTGCTCTCTTACATCCCAAGGTATGACTACAGCACTCTGGAAAGAGAGAGGATGCATCTCCTCTGGCAGATCCGATGGATCACATCTGTTGGCCTTAAGCAACAGCAAAACAAAAACTGATCCCGTTGTAGAATCTGGTGTTGAGACAGAGCAATCCCTCCCTATCTCCTGTGTCCACGGTCCTTATCCCTCAGACCTGGGGGAAGGGGCCTTTCAGGTGCAGCCCCAGCCTGGCAGCAAGGAGGGGACATGAGGGCCACTGGCCAAGTTCCAGCACAGTCCATCTGCCCAGCACATGGAATCACAGCCCAGCAGGGAGGGAGATCTCCCTTATTTTGGGGGACAGGGTGGGGTGTCAGAATTCAGGCTTTATTGCCACATCATTTCCCAGTCTGGAAATCCTTGGCAGTTACTCATCATGCCACACTGAAATATTAAACTTTTCCAATAATAAACAGAAATAATTCACTTTTGGCTCTTTGTTTTGCATCATGTGGCTGAAGTTGATTTTCACTCACTTCTCCAAACTCCTGTTATCCAACGTCCAATGAAAACTAAAATGTGATGTAAAACAACCATGTCTTAGGTTCACTAGGAAAAACAGTTGGGCTCTTGAACTGTCATATCCACAGGAGATTCCCTTTCCAATATCCAAATGTTGAGAGGAATTCATGGGAATGTGCTGATGGGCTAAAGAGGGGCCCAGTGATCAAACTGCTTGTGATGATTCTCAGAGCACCCCTCGAAACTCGAGGTATTGAACTTGTACTGACTAAATGAGTAACACAAAGCACTTTTGGTGGGGAACAGAAATCCCAGGATTGCATTACAAACCTAGGGAAGTAGAAGAACAAGTTGCTTTTCTGTGCAGAAGCTTTTGAAATTAAACATTTGCATTTTTGAGAGCATGTACATAGCACGTGGGTTGCTATCTACCTGGCAGTTCCATGATTCAGAGTCAGCCCAAATTCAGGATTTAGCAGTTCAAAGTTATCCTAATTTTCTGTCTTGTATATAAACTAATATGTAGTTACAGCAGAGAACCTTGTATTATCAAATCTGCCTTTGCCATCTCATGGGCAGAGCTGTGCAGCTGCCAGGGAAAGGTTAATCCCAGCACTATTAACTCCAGCCTGGAAACCCTCTGGAGGTTAATGAAGCCCAAATTCTGTCTGTCATCCCTTCAGTGGAATGATATCAACTGCCAGAAATGGGAAAGAGTCCCAAAAAAAGCAGCAGCATAGAAAACTGGCAGTCAATTTAAAAGCCTGAACTAGGACACTGAATTTTCTTTAATTAAGGAGAATTTGCTTTGAATTATTCCAAGCACAAGAGATTCAGCCCTTCTTTTTCCAGCTGTGGTAGGTGGATTCTTTGGACACTCTTTGTGTGCACAGGAGGATTTTCCAAGCTCATTGCAGCTCTGATCCCAGAATCATGGCAAGGTTAAAACTCATCTCATTCCAGTCCCTTTCCATGGGCAGAGACACCTTCCACTAGACCAGGCTGCACCAACCTGGCCTGGAACACTTCCAGAGATGGGACAGCCACAGCCTCTGTCACAGACAGACACACACCAAGGCCTATTTGAACCAAAGGATCAAATCAAAGGATCCCAGCAGCCTCCCAAGAAAATTTCTCAAATTAGCAGTTTAAAAAGGCCATGAAACTGTGGCATTAACTGCAATGATTTGCTGCCTGCTGTGCTCAGGAACACGTCACACCATCAGATTCTGTTCAGCACAATGTATTATATTTATAAACACACACCTGATGCCTGCACGCCTTGATTATTCCTATATTAACATCCAAGATCCCAGGAATTTGATCAAACAAGAAACTGCTTTGCTTTTAACAAAACTAGAGTGTTTCACAAGCAATCCAGACCTTCAGCAATGCCTGCTGGTGTCCCACACCCTCATCCCACACCTTTTATCCAGCCCCCACAAAGCCAGATCCAACAGTCATTCCCACCTGCCTTCCAACCGGTTTTTATCAATGTCCATAAATCCAGGGAGATGTTTTAATGGATAGGAAGGAGATATTCTACAGGAATGTGGCCTTTAAAAGACCTTCTTGGGACAATAAATCACTCCAGTGCAGTGATGCAAAAGTATCTGTCAGTGACAACAGTCTTGTGTTTCTTAAAAATCATGGATTTGCCTGTGTCCAACATGAATCCTTCAGAATCAGGGGGTTGTTTTCGGACTATCAGGTTAAGAACTAAAGAGTACTGACATGTATAACTAGTTCTACAAATCCTATCCCAAAACTCAGCTTTCCTTATGGATCTGAAGACAACCAGAGAACAGAAACCAAAAAGACCAACGGGGACAAATGGAGAGACAACAAGAATTAGAGGGAAAAGAAACATGAGCCAAAAAAACCCCCTCTCATAGCCTCGGTGAGAACTGAAGAAACATCAGCCCTGGAGTGATGTCCTGCTATACTACTTGGTTACAACAGTTCCTTTGAAGATCCCCATGAGTAGTGTTGCTATCCAAATCTGGGCAGAGCAAAGAAAGGATTGACCTTCCAGCCTCCTGCCCTCCTATTCCTCTTCTTCTCAGTTCAAACTACGACTTCCTGCCGCTCTGAGCCCCCCTCTCCCATTTTTCCACACTGTGGGAAAGGCTCATCCCTCTCTCCCATTTGCCCACACTGTGGGAAAGGCCCATCCCTTTCCCAAAAACCTCTTCGTGCTGAGGATTCATCACCTTGAACAGAACACAAACTCACGGAGAGCTGAGTAAAACACAGAGTAGTTTTCCAGCTCAGATGCACTTTCAAATCACTTCTCAAATTTGAACTCAGAATGAAAACAAAAAGGAAACTAAGATATAAAAAAGGGATAGTGAGTTTTGGTTGTTTTTTTTTTAATTTATTGATCAAACCTCCTTTGTCTCAATTTAAAAAAAAATTTCAGAAAGAAAGAGCCCTGAAAGCAATAAAAATTCAACCACAAGAAGGACACTGTAAGGGACCAACACATACCTCCTCCACGTCGTTGTCCAGCACCACGACCTGCAGTGGAGAAGTGAGGTTCTGGTTATCTGAGATGGTGGTTCCCACCGGGGAGGATTCCAGGATGAAGCCCTCGTAGGTGGATCTGGTGAAATAAGGCTTCTGGTTGTTCTCATCGAGGACCTCGATGTGCAGGTTGGCAAAGGCAGGAAGGGGGTGGCCATTGTCTTGTTCAGCCTAAAAAACACCTCATTTGTCAAAGGCTCTCTCAGCCAAGTTCAGCTACAAACAGAGACTGACTGGGGATGGCTTGGAGTTAACTATCAAAACCCAGTTAAAGAAATGGATACCATTGTACAGATCCCCCTTTTGTGAAACTGGGCATCATGAAAAAAAACCCAAACAAACAACTAAAAATTAGTAGGAGAGAAGAACAGAAAGACTTCCCATCACAACAAACTTTTACATAGTCCCAAGAAACCCAAAGCTCTACAGCACATGAGCAAACATAGTTCCTTAAACTCGCAGGACTGAGAGATTTGGAAAAATCTTTGAAGGACAAAAGAAAACTGGAGACTGCTGATTGTACAACAGAACCCAAGGCACCAGCAAGAGAGTTAAAGCCCAAAGGTGCTGCCAGCACACATGGATGCACAGTGCTTCCTACAGATTACTGGACACGATTCCCTCCCTCTCCCCCAGAATCCACCTCCCCAGTGTTACAGGAGTGGGATTTTAATTTGGAGTTTGCCTGGTTTTGCATCCTAGAACAGTTAGGGCTGGAAGGGACCTCAAAACCCATCCAGTCCCACCCCTGCCATGGGCAGGGACACCTCCCACTAGCCCAGGTTGCTCCAAACCCCATCCAACCCAGCCTTGGACACTTCCAGGGATCCAGGGACAGCCACAGCTTCTCTGGGCAACCTACTCCCAGAGAAGTTGTGGATGTGAGTGTGAAGCAAAATATTCTTTATTTCGATGAATAACCCCCAGTTTTCACCTGATTTATTCTTATTTTCAAACTTCCTAAACATAAAAGCACTAACTGGCCATTCCAGTGGGCTCATCCAACATAAACCCATGATCTTCCTTTCTTGTCTTTTAACTTTACAGCCAACCACTAATTAAGGCAAATAAACAAGGGAAGTAGAAGACAACAAGTAATTTGTTCTCTAATTTATGAAGAGCAAACCAGTTTTAATTATAGTCCTGCACATGTCCCTGTAGCAAGACAATAGTAGGGCATTGAAAGACAGTCTCCTATGGCCAAAATGTGTATTCCCAGGGCCAAAACCTGGGAATACCACACCAGTGGAGCCCTAGTGCCCGTCTGCAGACATGAGAACATTTGCCTGCTACTTGCACAGCACTGACATCATTCAGGAGGGATGAGATTTCTCTAAGGAGAGGAAGAAAAGAAAATGAACTCTGGAATTTTGGGTAGAATGCCATTAAATATCTCCCCTGAAGACCATTATACAGCAGACTGACTTCTAAAGGCTTGCATTTAATTTAACCTGCTGGCTGAAGAGATGTCTATGTTTAAATTGTTATGTGAGGAAATAGAGACTCTCTCCCGGGAGCAGGCTGGGATCTCATCTTTGCTGATTTAAGGATTTCCTAAGGATCATTCCTTCCTTGGTGTTAAACTCAAGCTTTAAGTGAGAAGTGATTGAGAGCAGCCCAGGCAGAAGGCCCTGGGGGTGCTGGTGGGGCAGAGGCTGGACCTGCCCCGGCCCAGAAACCCCCCGTGCCCTGGGCTGATCCCCCAGCGTGGGCAGCAGGGCAGGGGGGGATTCTGCCCCTCTGCCCCTCAGGGGAGACCCCCCTGCAGAGCTGCTCCAGCCCTGGGAACAGCCCAGCAAGGACATGGAGCTGCTGGAGCCAGTCCAGAGGAGGCCCCAAGAGGATCCGAGGGCTGGAGCAGCTCTGCTGGGAGGAAAGGCTGGGAGAGCTGGGATTGTTCAGCCTGGAGAGGAGAAGCTTTGGGGTGACCCAACTGTGGCCTTCCAGGGCCTGAAGGGGCCAACAGGAAAGATGGAGAGAGAATATTTCCAAGAGCCTGGAGTGTCAGGACAAGGGGGAATGGCTTCCCACTGCCAGAGGGCAGGGTTAGATGGGATAGTGGGAAGGAATTCCTCCCTGTGAGGGTGGGGAGGCCCTGGCACAGGTTGCCCAGAGAAGCTGTGGCTGCCCCTGGATCCCTGGAAGTGTCCAAGGCCAGGCTGGACGGGTCTTGGAGCAACCTGGGCTAGTGGGAGGTGTCCCTGCCTATGTCAGGGGTTGGAATGTGATGGTCTTTAAGGTCCATTCCAACCTAAGCCATTTTATAATTCTATGTTGCAGTATTTGAATCAATGTAATTAAACTAAGAGCAGCCAGCACAGAGACAGAGAGGGAAGGTCAGGGCTGACAAAGTTGCTTCTTTGAAATACCTACCAGAACTGGGAGATCTGGGTGAAACAAGGGACATAATTTATCTAGGTTCGGGCTAAGATTTAGGATTATATGTCCCACACTGGATTAATTTCCAAGGTCACAAAGTACAGCATAAGGAAAGAACCACTGATACGGATTAAAAAATGGCTTAAGGACAAGAAGGACAGAGTACCTTTAGAACTCAGAAGAAATTTGACTTTACTGTCAGTGAAGCCTGTGATGTGGCAGGGAAATGAAATTGGCACATAATGTGTCCAGACACTGTGCTTAAAAAAAACCCAAACCCCAAAACATACTTTTTTTTTTTGGTCACGTATCAGGTGACTTCAGGATCAGCAAGGCTGTAGTGCAGTGAACAGTCCTAGTTACAGAGGCCACCTTTCCAAATAATACAAGTCTTTCTTCTTCCCTTCCCTTAAAGAAAAACACCAACTATGAAGTCGTTATGCCAAGTTTTAAGTGATGGATGTTTGAGTTTTACATGAACAAAGATGCCTGTTTACTGCAGGAAGGAAATACAGCCATTTCTGTCAATAAGAGACATTACAGAACAAAGCCATTATTGATTTTAATAGTTTCATTGCTCTGGGAGTGCTGACACACAATTTAGGGTTAATCTTATCTCACAATCACTGGTCTTTCTAATGTGTATCTGTGACAACACTCTAAAGGCAAGAAAATCTTTTCCCACGCTGCTAAAGGTGAGGAAAACTTGCTGTTTCCATATGCGTGTGACAACTTTGAAGACTGATACGAAGCAACATTTTAGTAATGGATAGGAAAAGGTCTGGGTTTTCTGCACCCTTTTTCCCCCTCTCCTTATTCACAAAGACAGAACCTGTCCCTGCAATCAGATTTTCAATTCTACATCAACTCTCATTACTAGATTAAATACAGGATAGAAAAAGGGAGGTCTCAAAGAGAATTAGTTGAATACTGAGTTCACCTGAGGGATGAACATTTGAATAGCTAATTTAAAAGACCAGTAATTGTACTTAATACCTACAGGAGATGCACAGCAATTCAACCAAACTAATTATGTGGGAGATATCAGCCTTGTCAGGAAGTGGACTGAGCAAGTATTTAATGAAAATACACTTCTTTTATTCTTTTCTCTCATCTGTCACTGTGAGTTGAAACCCAAAAACTTAGAAAAGCAAAGATTTCTTAAATGCAAGAAAATATATTCATTAAGATACATGGGAAGAGAGGAAAAGTGGAGCTACCCTGAACAAAGATAACTCAGGTCACCAGATGCACAGAGCCAAGAGATCAAAACAGGGTGTGAGGATTTGAAGGCTGACAGTCTTGCAAAAACCAACCAAACATTGCAAATACAAAGTTTCTGAAGTGCTGGGGGAAAAAAAAAAAGTTAGATAATTCAGGACTTTTTAAATCTCAAAAACCACGGACTTTGGAGCATTTCTCTAAGTCCAGGAACTTCCAGTGCAGGGAGCCTCAGCTGAGGGACATCTTCTCATTGCCTGCTAGCATTGTGTTGTCTAAAATTCATAATAAAAGAATCACAGAATCACAGAATCATCAAAGTTGGAAGAGACCTTCAAGATCATTGAGTCCACCATTCCCCCAGCAACAACATAATCACCCCTAACCCATGTCCCCAAGTGCCACATCCAGATGTCTCTGGAACACTCCCAGAGACAGTGACTCCACCTCTGCCTGTCAGAGCAAACAGGCTCTGTCAGAGTCACAGAAACAGAGAATGAATCAAGGTTTGGGTTGGAAGGGACTTAAGGCTCATCCCATTCCACCCCCTGCCATGGGCACGGACACCTTCCACTAGCCCAGGTTGCTCCAAGTTCTGTCCAAACCTGGCCTTGGGCACTTCCAGGGATGGGGCAGCCACAGCTTCTCTGGGCAACCTGTGCCAGGGCCTCCCCACCCTCACAGCCAAGAATTTCTTCCATACATCTCACCTGAATTTCCCCTCTGTCAGTTTGAAGCCATTCCCCCTTATCCTGGCGCTCCAGTTCCCGAGGCAGAGTCCATCTCCAGCTGCCTTGCAGGCCCCTTCAGACACTGGAAGGTCGCTCTGAAGTCTCCACTCAACCTTCTCTTTCAGAGAAGAACAACCCATTTGATCTGTTTTAAACTTTGCCCCCTCCTGCTTCAGTTGATAACTCCTCGCTCTGACATTTCCAGAGAGAGTGAACTGTTGATTCTCCTTCACCCTCAGAACTCTGACACCGTATTTTACAGGTGTCTACCACGGCCTCCTCCTTCCTCACCTGACAGGAGCCTGCTTCAGTTCTGCTCTGTCCTTCTTGGGACAGGGACCAGAGCTGTGCACCTGAATCCCTTCAGTACTGCTGTGGTTTTTTTCTCTGTTCTGTTCTCTATCTTCATTAATGATTTCTAATTTTGCCTCTTTTTTTTTGACAGCCACGGATCACTGTGCCAACCTTCACACTCAGTGCTCAGTTCCAAGGCCAAGATCTCATTCCCAAGACAAGCCAGAACCCATCATTCTCAGTAGAAGGCCGGGATGATCTTTTCTGACACGTTTCACCTTATTTTTAAGCCATGCCTTATTTTATCAGCTGTTTTATTACCGACTCACTCGGTCTTGCAAAGTCCTTCTGCAATTCTACAGTCAATCCCTGGAAGTTTCACCTCTGGAAGTGTTCAAAAGACATGCAGATATTGCCCTTGGGGATAAGGGTTAGTGGTGGGCTTGGCAGTGCTGGGGAACGGGTGGAATTGGTGATCTCAGAGGGCTTTTCCAACCTCAGTGGGATGCACTCACACATGCTAAGGGGGGTGGCTGATTGCACTGC